CTGTCCATCTGTCCATCCGTCCATCCGTCCATCCGTCAGACAGTCTGTCAGATGACAGACTGACTGACTGTCTGAGTGACTGTCTGACTGACTGATGGACTCACAGACTTACTGACCGACTGATAGACAGACAGACATACTGTCTGACTGACTATTTGAGTGACTGACTGACTGACTGACAGACTCACTGACTGTCTGACTCCATCGATTATTAGCTTATTGACTTGCTTGCTGGTTTTCGTTCATTCCAATAAACAGTTTTCTCTTTCAGACATTCTTCAAATACTTCCTTGGCAAAGTACTTCTGAGTTATTTATCATTGAAATCTATCTTTTTTGATTGATTTTATGGTCACAAATGCGACGACAACACAATAACTCTGTGCAATGTTAAAGTTTGTTCTCACCTTGCTCAGGTCAAAGTGAAGTCTATGTTTAAGGAAACTTGGCAACTCTGTCAACAGAGTGTAGAATCCCCAGTTCTCACTGAAATGAGCCACGACTATCGCCCATACAGGCAAGGAGGTAAATATAGCTTTCCATGGAACTTTCACATCCTGTTTGTAAGTAATGAAAGTACAGTGAGACATGAAAAAGAGACAAAGATGACATACAAATATTAAAACGGATATCTAATCCGAACATTGAGATCAGCAAAGGCTAATTCTTTTACAACACACATCGATATCTAATGTGAGCTAATCATTTCATTGTAGTTATGATCCATGCATGTACATGTACCTTTTTCTGGACATCATTTGCAAGAGAATTTTCAATGAATAGTCGTTCTTCTTCAGAAATATTTGGGTCTTCAGCTGGTGAATTTTTTACAACTAGAAACCACACGATGGCCCATGCTACACCCATGGAACCTGTGGAGAAATGAAATTGTACAAAAGTGAATCAAGAACTGTTCTTATTTGGCCTCAGTAGTGAGCAACAAAAATAAAGGTCAGGTTAAGAATTATGCCCAGAGTTGAAGTTAACAAACTGATTTATCATATTTCAAAATGCTCCTTATCTATTTCCAGAGGTCTATCCAGTTCAGGCTAAGAAATGCACCAAGAAAATGACATTTAATTTCTTTCCACTAGAAAGGTGTTTGGATATCTGATCTTAATAAGCATCTAGATTTTTACAATAATTTTTATTTCTCCGTTTTCTCCTTAGTTTTAGTTTTGATTAAGAAGATATTTCAAACACTCAAGACAGTGTTTCACCACATTACCAAACACCTCGAAGTTTGTCAAAAATACTCCACTGCTCATTGTATTTTCAACTCTCTTCTCTGTGTTTGGAAATGTGGTCAAACACGATCTTTCTAGTTGGATATTACTTACCAAACACATAGAAGACTGATGGCCACCCAAGATGTTCTGCTAAAACACCTGACAGCGGCATAGCAATCACTGTGCCAATGTGAGCTCCTGTTAGGAACACATTCAAACAAGTTTAAACTCCTAGCTGAAAAACAATTTCTACAGACAACTTATGACGTTTCAAACTATTCCCGCGAGATATTCACTTCTGGTTATGTTATTAAACTGTTTTTTCTGCTCTTCACAATTGAAGGTCTTTGAAAAGACTAATAAAAAGACTATTTCTGATATTTGTTTCTCAAACTCATTCAAGTCTTCATCAAGTTTAAACACAGCTCATCATGTGGTTCAAAATCAGATCTTAATTCTAAAGACTAAAAATCATTTCTCCTGCTCATAATAGGCCTAAAATTCTTTCCTTTTTTTTTTCCTCAGCTTTAATTTGAGAAGATAATTATATCAAACACTCAAAACAGTGTTTGACCACATTTCCAAAGACCTTCAAGTTTGTCAAAGTACTCTTGGCCACTGTGTGCCATATTTTCAACTGTCAGTGTTTGGAAATGTGGTAAAACACATTCTTTTGTGTTTGATACAAGGATTTCTTTCACAAACCTGATACAGCAATAGTAGTGAGTTTGCTTCTCTCCAGAGGCGGTGCCCATTTTGTCCAAACAGCATGATTTGCAGGGAAAACCACACCCTGTTGGCAAAACCAACACATGCAGCATACTTAATGCAATTTGCAAACTATTCTTAATTAATTGTAATAACTACACAACCAAATGCAGGAGGATATAATAAAATTTAATAGCGACTACAGCATCTTACCATTCAGGGAGAGTCTCCTTATAATAATTAGTATAGTACTTCCTTCATGTTAATTAACAGTCAGCAAGCTTGAGGTTCCTATCTGATTGTAGCTATCATACGTCCATAGCTTCTTAAGTACATGTATACTACTACTCTGTATATTTTATCAACTATCAAAGTCAATAGAAACTGAGAGTGACCCATCTAATTGTTCTGGTATAACTCACTGACAGAACTATCAAAAAATGGAAAATATTAATTTATTTATTTCAGAAACTTAACAAATTTAAAACAGAAAGTTAATGCCAATTAATTTCAAGGATTGCCCAGCTCCTAGTGCTGGCTATCGATAACTAGCCCATCCCTGTGTAGCTAATTAGATCCCATGTTTTCCTGATAGTCGATCAGAGGGTTATACTTAACTGTGGATCAATGATAATTTGGCTTTAATACCTGAGTAGCTAGGACTAAAACATTCAAAATCAAAAGCAACAAACTACAAACCTCACACAAGCCAATGAGAATTCTCAAAGCCACTAGCAAGGCAACACTTGTCCTGGCAGCCACAGGTGTAAGCAGTGTCAAGACAGCAGTAGACAGAATTCCGAGACCAAACAAGTTTTTACCCCCGAACTTAAGAGCTAAACACCCTCCTGGCAGCTGTGTTATTATATATCCATAAAAGAATGAACTCAGCACAATTCCTGTGATAATTAAAACATAATGTTCCTGTTTGCTGGATCCTATACTGATACTAGAAAAAGGTTAACATGTAAATTATATAGGATTACACTTGACTAGCTACGTTACAGCCAAGATGTCTTAATATTTAACACAATATACAACAATTTTGACATCGCTATGCGCAACATCTCAAATGATGTCTTGGTAAACACATTTTTTTTTCACACTATATACATTGTATCAACAAGTGATTGCCATGTGAGTCAGGTGCTTGGTAGTGAAACATGCTAGCATGCAGTAATGTTTTCTATAGAATTGTGTTAGCAGACCTGAATGGTGAAAACCTAATTTCTTGCAGTGCCTCTTTAAAAGTTAGAAATCTCTGCAACCCTTAATGGGAGGGCAGATTCTCTTAACAAGACACTCTTACTGTCAGTGGTGGAGCTGCTAATGAATAAACTCCTTAATAAAAGATTTTATACTCTAAATAATAGTAAATCATGCATGTAGCAACAATACATGGTCAAGTGATCTCAAGCAAATTTTACCTTGGGTTTGAGAACTCCAGTTAAATTCTGCTGGTTCCTGAAATAGTGAAACAAACAATAACAATTATTATAATAAAAGCAATTTTATAACAATCCGTCTTTTTTAAAGGATCTATAAGCGACTGCTAAATCTTGGTGGCCAATCTGCTCACCAATAAGGAGAGAGAATGACTGCAAATAATTGATCAACTAACGAGGATATTTCCACAAAATCTGGGAAACTTCATGTGGCTTGGAACAAGATTATCAAAGGGAAAACAAAGATGTCCCCACTGATTTTTCTTGAGGATTTAAAACAGGCAGATTCACACGTACAAGCTATTTTATTTGTGGATATGAAGGTAATGGAAAAGATGTTGACAAACATTGCCATTTAAACTGAACGGGGAAATGTTACTTGGGGTGATCACTTTTGATTGGTTCAAACCAATCCTAAATTTAAAGTTGTAATTGGTCAATTTTCTTCTATTTGCGCAGATGTACTGTAAGTTCTGATACTAACCTCAACCATTTTGCCTTCTTTATCTAAAGTCGAACTCTTTGCTACCATGGCAACTAAAGCCACACTGAGGTTGACTCGTAGAGCGTAAACATTGCAAAACCCAAGTAAGGCTAAAATGGATATTATGTAACGTTTTGAAAATGGTGAGCAGTTGCATCTACGGCCTGAATCTTCATCAAAATGTTCTGTTTCACCAGTGCTAAAGAGCTGGTCATCATACGTTCTGATATCCTGAAGGGATATTTTCTCCTTGTTTTTTTCTCCCTCCATTAGCAGTGTTTGTAGCTTCAATGAAGACTTGCTTGATTGTGACTAGTTTAAAACATCACTGCAGCATGAACATTATAAACTGATTCCATTTTTAAGATGAGGACATTAAGGACTCCTAAAATATCAAGAGAGATACTAACATTAACTTACAGTAGCACGAGCAGTATACATAGCTTCTATATCAACAATAATCATTATTATTGAAAAGACCACGCAATTGATGTTGTCTGTCTGTTGCAGTGATTATGGTGTTCCCCGTTTATGACAAATGCTGTGTTACTGTTTGCTGCATTATTTTGTTTGTCTAATAACACATAACACTACATTTACAACTTACAGCACAATACCATCAAGTTATGTTTGCGAGCGATGTCTAATTTGACAAATCATAAGCACCCCTTGTGTCCAACAGCCAAGAGCAAGATAATATTTACTTCTAGAAACTTTGCAGGGTTTTTCTCACAGATTTAGGATGTAAATTAAATCCTGTTTACATGGAGGCCGTGTGTATTTAGTGGCTAACCGGTCTACTCGGCTAGGAGGGTTACAACATAGCCTGTCAGCTTCGTAGTCAGCCGGCTTAATCTTTTGAGCGGCCGCTAAGCACAATAATCAAGATGGTGGCCAAGAGAAACCTTTTGGTGGAAAGATTAATTTTTTGAAATCACTTAGTTCCTCTAGCAGCCAGTTTTTAATCTAACATTATTGAGCTTAGACACCAGAGGTCATTTACATTAAAAGTTGCCTTGAATATAATGCTACTTTTGCCGTTCTCTCACCTTAGTTGGTGAGGTAATTCAGGTCAACCATTTACATTACAAAAAAGGGAACCTGCCCAGAAAGGTGCCTCGGGCAAGTATATAGGGTGCACCGAGAAGTCAGGAATAACCCAGGTGTCTGGAAAACCCAAATAGTGAATAGCGAATGGTCATGAATAGCTAATAGTATGAATGGCACAAATAGTCTTGAATATGTGAAGTTTATATGAAATAATTCATATTTGAACTG